TTCAGAAAATGGTAAACTCAGGAAAGGAAGAGTAGTTCCAGACTCTGAAAACCAAAATATTACAGACACACAGGAAGTGAGTTTTCAAGTCCAGACTGTAAACCTGTCATTTTGTGGGCTTGTCTGCAAGCCTAGAAAAGAGAGGCAAAGATCAGACAGAAGATATTCCCATATTCTGGGAAGTTTGTACGAGAGGACCACTCAATGCTCTGGTGCTATGATTCTAAACTCAAGACAAATTTTAAGTGTCAGAGAAAGGCCAATGAAATTTGAGGCCAAATTTCTGGCTTAAAGCTATCTCACTTTGCTTAAAAAAATGTAGACTTTGAAAAACAGTGAAAGGTTAAAATATATTTTTGGAGGGAGAGGTATATATTCTCAGCCCCATTTCTTTAAGGTTTTCAATTAAAAATACAGTTGACCCTTGAACAACACAGGTTTGAACTGAGTGGGTCCACTTATACATGGATTGTTTTCAATAAATAGATTGGAAAAATTTCTGGACATTTCCAACAATTTGAAAAAACATTTTCTTTTCTCTAGCTTACTTTATGATAGTAATATAGTACATAATACATGAAACATACAAAACATATATTGATTGACTGTTAATGTTATTGGGAAGGCTTCCAATCAACAGTAGGTTTTTCGTATTAAGTTTTGGGGAGTTTAAAGTTATACGGGGATTTACCACTATGTTAGGGGATCATCACCCTTAACCCCCAAGTTGTTCAAGGGTCAGCTGTACTCTTCTGTGATAAATAAGCTAAGTTATTAAATATGCATTAACCTTTCTAAAATATTTATGTAGTGACTTTCCTTTTATTTTAATCTATCTGAAAGATGTTTTTGGTGTATTATACAAATTCTGTACCTCTGGTTAGTAAACTGTTTTGGGTTCATTCATTCTCCAAATATTTGTATTCTGAGTGCCTTCTAGGGGCACTCCTTGCATCAAACTTGCAGATTAATAAATCAATCTATTGATTCATTTAGGCTCTCCTTGCTCCCCTCCAGTTCAGTGAGGCAGCCTGGAGCCGAACCACCTGCCTTTCCCAGCTCTACCACCTTGAGCAAATCACTTAGCCTCTGTTCCTCAGTTTTCTCCCCTGAAAAATAGGGCTAATAACAGCACCTACTTCATCACATTAAATGAGTTAATGCATGTAAAGCACCAAGAACAATGCCTGGCATATAGCAAGTACTTAATAACTGTTGGCTATTCATAGTACTGGGCATGGGGAAAAACAATGTACAGGTGCAGATACAGAGATAAATAGAACACAGTGCAGAAAAGAGGAACTATTTGAACTGACTCTTGGAGGATAAGAGGGGCTTCACTAAGAAGGGCCAGGCCAAGTGTGGATAAAGTGAAGGTTCCTGTGGCCAGGATTCTCACCTGGCCCTGGTTGGTTAGCTACACATGTGTGGGTAATACATTGTTATTGACTTTATATATAGAGCTCCACCCAGTACTCTGGGCAATAAGGTGGCAGGGCTGCATGGCTGCAGGAGAGCAGAGACAAGACTGGAGTGGTGGCAGCACTGAGGACAGACTGAGATGGTCATGGGGGTAGAAAGGCCCAGAGGCAGAGACTGGCTTGCTGCACGCAGACTTGCTCTGAGTGGACAGGATTCTAGTGACTGACCTGCCACTGTAGGAATAAAGTTGGGTATAATCCTTTCACCCCCAAGAACATTCCATTGTCATTTCTTTGGTCTCATTGAATTCATAGTGAACTTGCCTGGGGCTGAAACATATTGGCTCACCGAGCAATGGTACAAGTGTTGTCACAGAACTATGACACTAAATAGCATTATCTGATTCATGGGAGCTGGGTTAAGAGGTGTGTGAGGACTGGGAGAGAACCCTCAGGATTAATTGGCCAAACCTATGTGGTGGGAAGTGAGGCAGAGGGCAGGTTTCTGGGTCAATGGTGATGGCATGGACCAGAAAGGAAAACTAGGAAGTGGCTGGGTTTTGACACACTTGTGTTTGGTTTTGGACATACAGTGAGGAGCCTTGAGACACAAGTAGAGCTGCTCTACAGGATACACAAATTTGGGGTTTTACAAGAGCATTCTGGCAAGCCATAGAACAGAGGGAATCATCAGAGCATTACTGACTGTGATAGCCATGAATTTGGCTGAGATGGTCAAGAACCAGTGTAAATTAGAAGGGAGCAACTTGGGCTCCACCAGCATTACAAGGTGGCTGGAAGAGAAAGAGCCAGAGAGAAGAGAAGAGGAGAGAACCAGAAGAGCAAAGGAATGAAAGAAGAAACCATAGGAGTAAAGAGAGTTTCATATCAATTAGAACTTTGACAGAAAGTGACAGAAAACTTAAAACTGGTTTGTCAAGATTTATTGGCTTTTATAACTGAAAACACAAACCTCTGGAGGATCACCTAAGCCAGGGATGAAAAATTTAGCTTACCATCAACATTTAACAGTTATACTGACAGCTTATTACGTGCCAGGCACTGTTCTAGTCAATGAACAAAACAGGCAAAAAAAAAAAAAACCCTCCTCTATAGATGGTACATACAAGTACTTCTTTTTTCTTCATTAAAATGCAAATACAAGTCTTCAAATTGGGAAACTGTGGAGGGGGAAGAGAGGAAGCTTTAGAATTTAATGAAAAATCCAAAACATTTGCTGGAAATTAATACCTTTTTGTAACAGAATGTCTGGAATTATGTACTCAGTGATAATGAGGAATGAAATAGGGAAGCAGTTCAGTGTGGATATAAAACTCTAAAATCCAAAATACTGCCAATGACACATTTTAAAGTCCATTTGTGGATTTGTGTTAAAGTTTTGACTTCTCAAAGTTGCTGAGTTCATCGGGTTCCTGTAAAAATAATTATTTTCCCAATATCTTGAGTAGTGTTTTGTATCTAAATTGTGTGGCAATGTATTTTATATGTAGGTCATGTCCAAACCTGCATTAGCCCATTTGTTTTAATTACATACATGTAATTTGCAATAAAAGAAAAGGTCACTCTCTGCCATCATATTCAACTAAGCACTAGCAGTTTCTCATCTCTCTTCTCCAGTGCCTTAGTTCACTAAGGCACATTTCACTACAGGGCTACTGCAACATGTCTGACTCAATTTGTACCCTACATACTTATTCTCCCCATTCTAATGTGGTTTTGCTAAAATAAAGATGGGTTGTCCCTGACACAATGCTTTGCACTAATAGGTTCTCTATAAATCTTGCATGGAATGGGATTGCAGATTTTAGCCTGATCTCTGAAGCTAATTCACAAGGCTTTTGTGGGCATATTGTTTTGTCTCACCGGGCCTGTTTTCCATTCTTGAATTTGGCAATGTAAGACCTACCTCATTAGGCTTTTGGAAAATAAAATAGTAGTTTGTGAACTCAAAAGTACTACACAGTATTAAGGGTTGAGATTACAAAGGTACAAGTTTGCAAGTCTGTCCAGGTAATATTAGTATTTTAATGGCTAAAAAAAAAAGTGTGTCAATTTTCTCAGAAATGTTGATTCCAGTTAGAATGCTTTCTGTATTAGTCTGTAACACTATTTACATTTTGAATTTTAAAATATGGCCCACAAATGCTTCTCCTCAAATTTTACCCTTACACAAAAGAAAATCATTCATACCTAATGTGGCTTAATGTCCTTAAAGATGAGGAACCAATCATAAGTACCAAGTTACCTGATTCTCCAAAAAGGAAGCAATCTGGACATAGGATTTTTTCCCTTATCCATATGAATTCTAATAATAATCTTCTCCACTGGGTTTCACTAGCTGAACCAAACTGCTCTTTACCTCTGTACCTCCATGGACACTTGTTTCACAAACATGTTCTCAGGACATCTCTGAAGGGGAAAATCGTCCTTTCTTTAATAAGACGACGGATGTACTGACATGAAAGGCCATTTTCCCACAAGGGATATTTCTATGGAAGGTTAAGCAAACCATAAGCAAATTTCTTTCCCCTGATTTTTGGCCACATTTAAAAAAGAAACCCAATGAGATACAAATGGCTGTCAGACTGCTTCATAATATTTAGCATCCTTCTTTCCTAAAACCCTCTTCCTCCTTCTAAGCTAAAACTAGCTTGGCCTATACTAGCATAGGTGCCTATCTCCCTGCAGTTGCTTAATAATCTCACAGGTAGAGCCACCACCTGTCCCGTCTGCAATGTCAAAACATCCACCCCCCTACACATTGTTACCTTCTAGAAAGGAGGCTCAAAGCACCACTTAAGGACTGATCTACTGAGCTTTTTTGTTCTCCAGCATAAACTAACTGATCTAAGTTGGAAGTTGAACCAATGGGTGGTAAAAAGGGGTTAAGATTTTCAGACATTGGTTTGTTGGGCTTTTTTTATAAATGAGGTTTGCTTTCATGCCAATTTTGTAATCTTGTAATATTTCATTAATTTCTGAGATAAGGGCCCCACCAATACATGCACCTAGACTGTAGATTTCTCCAGATTTGGGAATCCCAACTTTTTTGTAATTCCATTTGTTTGGTTTTGTGTCACTTGGGGCCATGCTTTCCCAGGTGGTACCACTACCTATTATTGGATATCATTGAGTCTTCCAAATTATTCGTTTTTGGACTTCAACCTTCAACATTTTCTTATCAATTATTCAAATGTGGGATTAATATATTTGTAAACCTAGAGAACAGGCAGCTATAAAATTAGTTTTTGGAAGTTTAAGATACACTGGAAGCCATCATGCTGTTATGTTCCTCCCTCACTCCATAAAGCACTGTGGCTGGCACAATTCTTTTAATGACTTTTACAAATTTTAATCTACTTGATTCATGTTCCCAACTAAAAAAATTTATAGCCTTTTATATGTTAGCTTCCAGTCTGAGAGCAAACAACTGGACTGGGGATTTTTTAAAACTCAGACTGAGTTTAAATTCAACTGCCTTTAATTTTTCTTATACACTAAATGTGTAGTATAACGAAGTCTTGTCTCTTAAAGGCATAAGAATCATAGACTGATTGATGTAGTGTATAACCTCTCCTTTATTGTTTAAAAAGTTACAAATCACTGCATTTTGGGAATAGAAATAAAAGATTACTAACTTCCTGAATACCCTTTGTTGTTTTCTTATTTACTACTATATGCAAAGCATTAAAATAGGAGCTAGGTAAACACAAAGGAGATTTCCCAGATAAAATACAAGATGCTCAGTTAAATTTGAATTTCAGATAAACAGAAGTTTAGTATAAATATGTCCCAATATTGAATATACTAAAATATTGTTGTTTATCTAAAATTCAAATTTTACTGAGTATCCTGTATTTTTATTTGCTACATCTGCCAAATCTTTAAGAGGATCCTTATCTTCAGCAAAATATTAACAGGGAAATTAATGAACAATCACAATATAAAGCATGTAAGTGTAGCTATACAGTAAAAGAGATCTCCACAAACCACCACAGCAGGGTACCTGGAAGAGACAGAAAATTCAGCTCCAAAAGATTACTAAATTTTGATTGGTGGATAGGTGGATAGGTGGTGGATAGGTTTTGGAATTCAAGTGTCCTAAGTTGAATCCCATTCACTGCTCACTAGCTGTGTAATCTTGGATAACTTAACCACTCTTTACTATAAAATGAGACTAACTTGTGCTTTACCAGGCTGTTTGAGGATCAAAGATGCAGAAGGGACCTGAACACAGGAGGCACTCCCTAAATGGTAATATCTACTATAAAACAACATGGCAAAGAGGACACTTGTCACAGACAAATCTTTAAAATGTTAATGTTATGGAGTGGTAATAATATTCAATAAGTAATTTTATTTCCATGATCTATTTACACTGTACAAACACTGTTGAAAAGCACCCTACAAGTTCACAGTACAATATATTTACTTTAAAAATATATTCCTTTATAAAAGGTTCATAGAACGTTGGCATGTCAACATGTGACAAAACTCTCAAAGCAAGTCACCAATTCTGTGAGAGCAAGAATGCTTCCAAGTGTCAATTTCACAATCACAAGTCATCATTTGAGTTTAAATACACACACATTTTAAATAAAAAATGAATTTCTACTGTGGAAAGTTCCTGCAGCAATACTTATTAGTTAATTAACATGGACATTCATGGAGATGCTATTTCATAATAATTTACACTATCAATTAATTTGCCAGAGAAAAACCATTTCAAGTTTTATAGTCCAGAAACTCCTGTCATTTGTTGTTTTCTACTTTTTCTTCTTTGTTGGTTCTCCTGGTTCTACTTTGCGCTTTTTAGAAGAATGTTCATCTTTTTCATCATCTTTAAACAGGAAAGGAAGAGTTTCAATCAGTAATTAAAAACAAGTGTTAAATTTTCATTGACTTTATACAAAAATATCACTTTCAACTAATGTTTCTTACAGTTTCCAAATAAAAACCTAAAATTAACTTTTAGAACCCTGATTTTAAAGTTCAAGTAAAAAATAAGTTTTTTTTTAAACTGTAGTATTATACAAAATCCACAGTGATCGTTTAGTGCTATATTAAGGTAGCTTAAAGTCAGATTTATTCTGAAAAAGCTATTTCCAAATATTCTACAGTATACATGCTGTGTACATTTAAGTATAAAATCTGTACATGGTAAGAGTGGAATACATTTTCTTTTTACCAAAAAAAAAAGGTATCAATTTAACAATGATGTTATTTAAGTGGCTATAAGCTGTTCTTTACCTTCTAATCTGCTTTCTCTCTCTGTAAAACAACCCTCTTCCGTACTCCTCCCCCATCTTTGTATTTTGAAGTTAAATAAGGATTCCCAAGTAGATGTTTCACTGAAACTGTATTTTCAATTTTGTCCCATACAGTTAGTTCTACTCCCTGCCAACCCCCATTCATAGGAAAGTCAGAATACTGCAGTGGCAACAGAAAAACAGCTATCTTCCCCCTTTGTTTTATGAAGAATTTTGGGGAGGGAAGGTAGAGAAGAACTTCACGTTACAACTATATCCTCTGCACTTTTCCAAAAGGCTATTAGTTGTCTGTAGCCAAAGAAAATACCCAATTAATAAAAATGCTGTCAAATCTGAAAAAGTAGACCCCTTCATTCAATTTTAAAAAACACCACCATACATTTCAATACAACACAGGATAGCAGAGACCAGCTGCTAATTCTCACCTCTAAAAGTGGAGAGATGTGTGGCTTTTTTAAGAATTCCATATAGACAGAAGAAATAACATGTAAAAGATGTTATGATTTATAAAGTACAGATTTATTTCAAGCACATTGCTGAATTCATCGTATTTTTGACTTTATTTTCCTCAACAGATACTCAAAGTTCAAGAAATACCATGTGATGCTTTATAAAATATTTTGATGTTCAAAGAGGCCTTCATATTAAAAAAATCTGGGAAGCTGTTGATATCAGATGATTGAACTCTTTACAGAGGAAATATATTTACAAGCTCAAGCAAGCCTTTAATTCCCTTCTGTGAACTCAACCATATTCAGAATATCTCCTTTGTTGAAGTGGACAATAGGTAGTGTCAACAGCAGGCGATTCATCTTCAAATACAGCATGGCAATGTCATTCATGTATTTTATAGAGCACCATGGATTTATGTAGGTAGTAAGATAAGATACATTTCAGATCAATAAATCATCCCAGGAATTTACAAATCGAAGTTTTACCCAGTGACTTATCATGCATCACAAAAATACTGACTCTACAAACTGATATGGCACACAGTTCAAATAAGCTAAGACCTTTTGTTTTTTCAATAAAATTTAATTATATGCTTGACTTTTGAGAGTCTTCAGTAGTATAAAGATTGAAATTTCTAACTTTACTGTAAAATCCATTGTTAATATATATTAAGAAGATGATCCTGAGACTTTTGCTTTTAATTTGCCACTTATCACAAGTAAACTTACTGTAACAAAAACTACTGAGGTTGGAAGAGAATTTGTATGAGTAATTTCAACAGAAGAGCTAATGCCATCTAGTGACATAACAGGACATTGCCTTATAAATGAGAGCAGAGGAAAAAAAAACCCAAAATATTCATCAAAGTTACTCAATTTCTACTCTGCCATATACTACAGATGGACTAGTAGGGAAACAAATTTTATATTATGGAATTCATGTCACCCAAGACAAGTAAGTTTAAATTATTAATACTAACTTTGTAAATTCTTAAAGAAAAAAAAAGTACTAGTTAGCTAGGTTTTTATAATTATATGTTGATAAAGCTATATACACATATTTATGTATAATATATATAAAATAGAACTTACTGATCTACATTTTGCAACTATAAATAAAAAATGGTGATTAAGTAGCAAGCCTCAATGTTTTGAATCTTTCCCAAATTCCCTCCTTTAAAATATTTGGAAGAAGTTAACTGGCAAAAAAGGCCAATGGGCAGGAAATGGGAAGGAAATTAAAAACAAAGTAATCTGATAATCGGAAAAAAAAGGTAATTTAAGAGTTTCTAATTCAAGATATTTTATGAATTAAAAAAAATAGAGGTAAAAAATGATGTCAGGGAAATCAACTTTACAGTAACTGTGAACATGTTATGGGAGTCTGAAACAGCAAAAATCACTTTTAAAAAGGAAGGTATTTATTACAAAAAGAAGATAGTTATATTCAATAACTAACATTAAAGTCAAAATTGAAGATTTCGGGATTATCTTTTAATCTTAAGACCCAGCTTTAAACTGACAAGAGCATATCCTTTTGTTTGTTTTTACAATGTCTACATTCATTTGCTGATAGAATGTCATCATATAATCAAAAAGAAATTATCTAAGGGAACAACAGTATTATTTGTCAAATATGTGGAATCCTATCTGAACTCAATAGGCAAACTGGAAAAAAGATAATTCTTTCCACTTGCTTATCCTACCTAGTATATATATAATCCTCGCCTTTTGTATATAGGAACAAGGTTAGAGCCTATGGCACCCAAGTTTGAATATTAACACCAGTGGTCCTACTGCCATGCTTCTTAAAAAGACAGCTATTTCTCAAGTACTCTAGCATGGAAAACATCAAGAGACAAAATCCCAGTTTAACAGGGCATTGTTTCTATTTAAAGACCTGAATTTGAATTCTGATTCTGCCTCTTTCCAGCTGAAATTTTTTTGGGCAAATTCTTTAATCTGAGATTGTTTTCTTGTCTATAAAATAATGATAATGAATCATGTACTACTACTGCATTGAGTTGCTAAGAAGAAATTAGAAAGCTGTGTAAAAGTACCTATTTTCGAGCTTGGCAGTTTCTAGTTTTGTGACCTTGGGTAATTCATACAAGCTCTCATTTCCACATTTCCCTACCTGGTTTCACAAGGTGTTGTAAGGATTAAACATTATTTCCACAAAAGTGCTTTTATTAATTATATAAAATATTATACAATATGAAGTATTTTAAATACCCACTTCATTTGGCATCTCCAAAACGATGACATTTACTGAAGATGTGCCTTTATTAAAGTGACTTCTAATGCACACTGGGAAATCAGTCAAGAAATGGAAAAAGCCAGTTACAATCAAAACTGGAGTAAAAAATCCTACCAGTTACCCTTTTTCTTAAATACAATTCTCTGCATGATTGTAAAAGGAGCTAAGTAGCTGTGTATTATAAGATCAAAAATCTGTTTAACAAAAACGGCACACTGCTTCATAAAAATGAGTCCAAAAAATTTAGTCCAATTCAACAATTATCCATTGAATACAATGTACTAAAAAGTGTGATACAAACATTTTTAAAAAGAACTGGACCCTACATTTAAGGAGCTCATTTTCATAAAGGACATAGACTTATGAACAAATAATCACATAACAGGTGACAAGTGCAATCAATAGCATTAGCACATACAAGGTACAGAGGAACAAATTATTAGAGGAAGGTGATATCTGAGATTGTTTTCTTCTTTGAGTTGGATTTTGAAGGATGAAATGTGCTTACCAGCCAAAGAGGGAAGGAAGAACATTCTAGCTTAAAGTGCAACATATATTGAAAGGCATGAAATCATAAAATAGCATAGTCTATTTTATGAATTTTTGAATTCATAAATTCAAGTTTTGAATTTTAAGATCTTCAAAGTGCTAGAAAAGGGTTCCACATAAAATGAGGATGGAGAGAAAGACACAGCCTATCATAGAAGGCTTTGATTCTAGGCTGTTGGTGTTTTAAGCAGGTGACCTACATAATCAAACATAAAATGAGGATGGAGAGAAAGACACAGCCTATCATAGAAGGCTTTGATTCTAGGCTGTTGGTGTTTTAAGCAGGTGACCTACATAATCAGATAAGACTTTTAGAAAGTGGTATCTGCAGTGTTACTAGAAAGAGACTAGCTGCAGTGTGAAGGATGAATTGGGGAGTGATAAGGCGTGGAAGCAGAGACTGCTGTGATTACAGGCTAAGTAAGAGATGAAATTATGATATCAACTAAGGTAAGACAACTAGGTCATCATCGTCCTATTACTATATTAAATCCACTTTGTCATGCTAATTATGGCTCTAAAGCACAAACTGCTTTAGTATAAAATGGAGCCTTCAGCACTTTCCAGCCCCAATCACAAGAAAGAATTCATGAATCAAGGTCGTGCTGCTCCAATAATAATGCACCATATATACTGCTGGCTAAGGTAGAAATTTCACTTTAAAGCCTGAATCATTTATGATTTTTCTCTAAAGCACAGCAAATACTAATGGTTGAGCTAGATACCAGAGATTTTACTTAGAAGCCAAATACACATATGATCTTTCTAAAAAATACAGCAAAAATCAGTCGTACATCATAATCAGTTTGCTAACTCGCTAGATTTGATTTCAAACTCGTCACAAGGACCATAGATATTCCACGGGAGTCTGACTGTCCTTACCTGACTCCACAGTCTCCTCTCCTTCTGGGAGAAGCCGAGCTTTCTTAGCATTCTGTGGGGCGTCATCACCATTGTCCTCATACATGTTAGACCATTTTATCGCCATGTCCAGCTCCGGAGGAGGTTTCTTGTCAGTGGTGTAGGTCTCCGGAGGTGGCACACAGTTGGACTTCCATATTTTGAATTCCTTTGGAGGCTGTTAAGCAAACACAGTAGGAAGCACCGTGACGAACCGAGGTTCCTACAATCGGTGTGGGTACACGCACCTCCCTGCCGTTCGCTCATTGTTAGGTGGACTTTTTTTTTTTTAAGGTTTAAAGACACATTTTTAAAATTAGAATCACAAAACTGTTAAGTGAAAAGCCAAAGGGTTCCCTATACGAATAAAGCTAATAACTTTTAGTTACCAAAGAAGAATCCAGTCCCAGAGATACTACGCCAAGGCTGACCCCTTCAGGAGGCTGCAGCAGACGCTGTCCTGGAGGCAGCACCGCAGGCACTTCGGCATCAAAAGGAAGGGGCCTCGGGGAGTAGCTGCAGCGGGCGGGGGCGGGAGTTACCACCGTTAGTCCTCGCCGCGCGGGTCGGGCTCCCCGGGATGGGGGAGAGCCCCGGGTGGGCAGGAGGAAGGGGGCGGGCTGGGCCGGGACCGGCGGGACGAGGTCGGGAACCTCACCTCCTCAGGCGCCTTGACGACGTGCCTCTCCCAGTCTATCTGCTTGTTGAGCGGATTGTACAGAAAGGCCGGGCGAGTCACGCTCCGGAACAGCTCGTCTGGGCCTGGCAGCCGTTTCTCCGCCTTCTTCCCGAGGCCGCCCGCCGATTTCGCGGGACCCGGGGTTCTGCGACTCGTCTCCTCCGGCTCGCTGTTGTCCTCCTCGCCCGAGGAGCCTGAGCTGCTGCTGCCGTAAGCCGCGAAATAGCTCAGCGGGTCCTTCTCCTCGGCTGCCATGACGGCTGCGCACGACAACCGAGGGCTCCACCGGAAGCCGGAAGCCGTGCGAGGGCCGTCCCGGGGCTTGGCTCCGCCCCACGACTTGCGGATAGGCTCGCGCCTGCGCCCCCTGGCGGCTGCCCCGCGTCCCTGCTCCTCGCCAGAGGGACTGAGGCTGGAGACGGGGCCCTGCACTGACCCACGCAGAAAGAGGCTTTTGTTCATTTCTGAGGAGTCCTGAGGGTGTGTCCTGAGCGGCGGTCCAAACTCAGCATTCAATAAGAATTGTTTAAGTCACAGAAGAGCTAGGAATTTTGTCTTTTCAATGCCACTTCACTTTATCCCTTGCCCAGAGAGACCACTGCTTCTGATCCCATTGCAACATCTCTTCAAAATAAAAATTACTCAGTATGCTTCCCTCAGTGCAGTCATCAAGTCACAAACTGAATCCTCTCCCGCCTGACCTAATTCCAGCTCACTCCAGATTGTCTCTCGGATGAAACTTCTCTTGGATTGGATCTCACCACTCAGGTGTCCTCCACTCTCTGGCTTCTGTCAGCCTTCTTCCGTGCCTCCTTTGCTCTGTATGGCCCTTAAAACATCGGTGTGTCCCATATATGATATCATCTTTCAGCAATGCCTACTAGATTATGTAGAGGCTATTATAAAGTCAGTCCATCTCTTTCCATGGCATGAATTACCGTATGCTTGTGACTTCCAAATCTGGATCTCCAACTTTTAACTTGCCCCAAGCTCTGGACCAGACCTCTACCTGGCTCCTACTAAACTTTCCATGTGGACACACTGCTGGGGCTTCAAACACCCACTTACTTGACCAGTAATTTGTCTTTCCATTTACCCTGTTTCTGCTTTTGTGTTCCCTCTCTTAGTAAATGACATAATCATATGTCTAGTCTTCAAGGAAAACAGACATCATGGCTCCTCAAAAAAATTATCAGAATTTTCCAACCAAGTATATAAGTTAACAGAGGAAAATGCCTTCGAAGTGTGAAGTTCAGGAGTGCCCCAAGCCATCCTCACTTCTGACAGCAATTCAAAGTTTTTGCTAGAAGAATGCACAGAATCCACTGAATGCTGTTTTACTCATGGTTATGGTTTGTTATAGGAAAAGGATGCAGATTAAAAATCATTCAAGGAAAGAGGTGCACGGGACAGAGGTTCCAGAGAATTCCACACTTGAGTTTCCAGATGTCCTCTCCGTGGAATTGTAGACAGTACAAATTGCTTGTAGCAAAGATATGTGACAATAGGTATAGAGTATTGCCGATAAGGGAGGCTCACCAGAGCCTGGGAGTCCAGAGTTTTAACTGGGGCTCAGTCATGTCATAAAACTGGCACTCTCACAAGATAACCACATTAATCCCATGGCTTTTAAAATCAGCCCACTATTGAGTGCCTCTGGAATTGAGGCACCTAGTTTGAGTAATTTGACTCACTGTTATGGAAGCCACCCACAGCGTACATGTGACCAGGGGCCTACAAGTCCAGGGGCCACTTCTTACTCGACCTTTTAACAAGATAGGCCTCTTTCTTCAACCACTTTCTTCTCTTGCTTTTACTGGAACATGTACATTAGTTCTCTTTTTATTTCACAGGGTTCTTTTCAATTTCCTTTGTCATCTTCTCTGCCTCACCTCTAGATGAAAGCACCTCAGACTCAGTCCTGGACTTCCTCTTTTCTATCAACCATTCATTCCAAGGTGAATTCATCAAGTTCCATGGCTTTAAATACCATTTTATGTTAACTCCCACATTTATACCACTATCACATAAGTTTTCCTTGAACACCCAACTCCTGTATCCAATTTCCAACTCCATTCTCTATTGAGCACCTCAAACTTAACATTAACAGTGGTATACTGCCTATGAAGATGGCTGCCAATAATTCCTGCCATGCCTGTGCATGCATGCCACCCCTTCCATCAAGAGGTGGAATCTGTTTTCTCTTCCTCTGAATGAGGGCTAGCCTTGTGACTTGCTTTGATAAATAGAATGTTTCCACTTCTGCTTTCTTGGGAGCCCTGAGATGCCAACTCCAGATGCATTCACCCTAGGGAAGGCATCAGACACGCAAGTTAAGTCATATAGCACCAGCTGGGCCTTTAGAAGTTTCCAGGAATGACACTAGCCTATCAGAACTCTGAAGCTAAGTCCTGTCTAATTTGCAGAATCATGAGTAAATAAATGGTTATTTTAAGCCACTAAATTTTAGGGTGGTGTGTTATACAGCAATAAGAACTGAAAAATATGTCCAAATTAAACTCTTCATTCCTTACCCTCAATACTCCATACTTCCCAGTCTAATTTGTTTTTGCATTTCAGCATCATAAATCCAGCTGCTTAGCACAAAAGGCAGTAAGTCTTGTCATTTCAAGTTTAAAATCAGGTTCCAAATACAAGCACTTTTTACCAATTCTGCCTCTATTACCCATTTTCTTTCTTGCCTGCTAAGTATTCTTAACATTAAATAATCTTTAAATTGGTTAGGATTCATTCATTGCCTTCAGTGGTCATGTCTCCTAGTCTCCTTTAACCTGGATGGTTTCTCAGTCTTTAACTTTCATGACCTGGATATTTAGAAGATTATAGTCCAATTACTTTATAGAAGATGCCTCAGTTTGAGTTTGTCTGGTTTCTAATGATTACATCCATGTTCTAAATCTTTAGCAGGAATATGGAAGTGATGATGTGTTCTTCTCATTGTACAGTCAGGAGGCATGTGATTTCAATTTGCTTTGGTATTGATGACTAACTTTGATTTTTTAAGGTGTTATATAGTTACTTTTTCCTCATTTGTAATATGTTTTATAGAGATACTTTGAGACTATGTTAATATAATACTCTACATCAAATTGTCAACTTTTTTGTATTAGCAGAATCATGGTTTCCTATTTTACCCAATGAATTACAATCATTATATTTATTCTTATAGATACATCTATTATATATGATATATACATACATATATATATATATAATTGTACATATATATATAACCATTATTTATTTTGATACTGACATTATTCCAGAACTGGCCTGTGGGAGCCCCTTCAAACTGGCTTCTGTGATATGTCCCCATGTTGAGTATTTGCCTGTTTTCTGGCACATGATATTCCAGATTTATCTTAAATCTTAGACATTCTGTCAAGGATTTCTGATTCCTTTAATGAAGAATGGTATTTAGGAGCCAAGATCTGGGTGCTAGGTGTGATCATTGCTAATGAAGTGTTAATATACCAGGTTCTAGCAGGGAATCTGAGGGAATGGATTTGTTTCTGTATATATTGGAGAGCTTGAGTTCACACTGGTAACTTCAATTTCAACCCAATACTACAAGATTCCTTTTGGTTTTGTTTTTCCATATTTGAAACTCCATTTTTCAACATTGAGAAATAGGGCTCTTGTTATCCTAAATACTTTTATTTGATTAATCACCAAATATGCAGCCAAACTTCCATCATTGCTGGCCCTTCTCTGATGTGGATGCTCTGCTTTCTTCACTTAGAATCTGACATATTGCATTGGACTGCCCTTCTACAGAGGCCCTCCTCATTCTGTTCCTACCTACTACTTCAGGCTCTAATGCTGGGCACCCCTACTAACACCCCCTTCACCAGGTTCAGGCTTTGACATCTTGTGAGTGGACACCTTACTCTGGACCCTGACACCCTGCTGAGCCGCATCTATTCCTTTCATACTGCATTCAGGCTCTGACGACCCACATCAGGCCACCCATCTGTACTGATACTCATTCCATTTGGGTCCCAACACTCTCTACCACCCCCGTGCCCACTCTGCCATCCACACCCAGTTCAGCTTTTTATACTCCAATCTGGAACCCTACTAGTTCCTTCAAGCCCATTGGCACAGATACTTACTGCTCTGGCTCCACATAATGGCTTGTGGATTGAACTGTTAAAAGAAGTTAAGAGAATGAAAGAGAAGGTTGGAGAAAGGGAAAGAGAAAGAATTCAAATGTTGCCAATAAACTTCTACTTATCTCTTTGCTTCCATTCTGTCCCCCTCCAACCTGTTCTCCACACAGCCGCCACAATAAACTTTTAAAACACAAATTAAATCATATCACTTCCATGTTTAAAACCCTCCAATTGTTTCCCACTGTAAAAGAAAATCTAAACTTGTGAAGGTTTATAAGCCTTTCTGTATCTGATCCATGCTGTGAAAACTCATTTCAGTCTAGGTTCCTGAGTCCCCTGCAGCCACCTGTCACACTTACATTCCAGTCACACAGGGCTGTGTGAGCCACTCATTCCTGCCTCAGGGCTTTTGCACTGTTACTTCTGTTTGACCTTTCCCCCAAATCTTCACACAGCTGACTCCTTCCTTCTTATGATTTAGGTCTCAGCTCAAATGACACCTGTTTTGAGAGGACTTGCTATCAATACTCTTTGCAAAGTTACCTTTTAGCTCACACATGCCTTATTTTCTAGCTATGGCAACTAGAATTATCTAGGTTTCCATGTGTATTTTCTATCTTCCCCAGGTAGAATATGAGTTCTAAGAGAACACAGACTTTTGTCTGTTTTATCACTGTATTTCTAGCATCTAGAATAACAGGTACTCATAAATATTGAATTAGTGAAAAAAATACATCATTTACACTCTTACCTTTTTGACATTTAGGAAATGCTAGTAAGAAAGCATGAAGATGTGAAAAGAACACTAATCTTCAGTCTAACAGCGCTGGCTTTTAATCCTAGAAAGCTGTGTGATGTAGAGTGGGTTACTTTATCCTGGGTTTGTTTCAGCTCTTCTTTCAGGAAGTCCTCATAAGACTACATTTGACATCCACTGATTGATTTGCTTCTTGGTTTCCATTTTTTTCCAAAATCAACAGTATACATACTTATCCAGTGATACAAGATAAGGGCCAGAGCCTGAAACTTCCTGCTCCATTTTACACAGCTCAGGTAAAAAGACACAGTAGGTATGAGGCTTGACTTATACTTTGTACCTTACACAAACATGTAATGAATTATAGAGCTAAATATGAAATTAAAACTAAATTTCCAGAAAACAGAATATCATCATGATACTGGGACAGGCAAAGATTTAACAGGAGACAAAAATCATTAACCACAGAAGAAAAAAATCGATAAAGTGGACTTAAAAACCTGTGTATCACCACAAACCAAAAAGCTCCCAAACAGAACCAAAAAAACTGCCATTATCCCTAGTTTTCCAGTATTTGACCTTGTAGTAAGAGTAACATGCTGACCAAAGATGAGTAAATACCTCATGAAAAAAAAATAGCTCACTATGAAAAGACACTGAGGAACCTTAGATGCATATTCCAAGTGAAAGAAACCAGTTTGAAAAGGCTACACACTGCCTTGATTCCAACTATTTGACCTTCTGGAAAAGACAAAACTATACAGACAATAGAAAGATCAGTGGTCACCAGGGTTGGAAGCTGGAAGAAAGAGGGATGGATGAGTAAGTGGAAACACAAAGGACTTTTAGGACAGGAAAACTATTCTGTATTATATACTGGTGGATCCATGACATTATGCATGTCAAAACATATATAAGAGTAAACCCTAATATAAACTATTAACTTCAGTTAATAATATTTCAAGACTGGTTCATCAATTCTAACAAAATATACCACACTAATGCAACATGCTAATAAGGGCAACAGGGGAGAAGGGGTATATGGAAACTCTGTTATGCTCAACTTTTCTGTTTATCTGAAACTGCTCTAAGAAATAAAATTATTATTTTTCTTAAAAGTAATAAAAAAGTGAGCTCAGGCTGTTGTTTTTCTACTGATTATATGGTATCTGTTAAAAGTAACTTTCTCATTGCTGCATCAATCAACCAGGCAACCAATTAATTGCTCTGTATTGTGTCAGTCTGTCATTCTAATTTATGTTTTCTGGCAATGGCTGGTTTTCAGTGTTTAAAGCAAAAAAATTTATAGGATTTAGAAAACCACAAAGCCTGAGTTTATTAAAACCTTAATTTTATTGTCTATATAGTTAGCCAACAATCTGAAAGTTCAGTGTTATAAACTATAAAAAAGAAGTGCTATAAGCATATCTAAATTGTGATCTTTGATTATCAGTAAATCCTATATATTTTTAAAAAAGTAACCCCATATCAAATTTTAATTAATGAAATGAAAAACCTGTTTCTGCTTTTTAAATAGATTTCTTTAAATGTAATGCCACTACTTTCTTATGCTGGAGGTGAAACATGTTTCTCCAAAATGCTTAGAAAATGTTATGCTACAAAAATCAACTATCTTTAAAAATTTTTTAAAGCCATATGCTAATATTCTTCCTGATTGATAAAATCATTAGTCTATCTAGAAGTGCAATTCAACCTTATAATCTGAAGTAATGTTTTCTACAAAAATTGGCACATAAGAAAAAAAATGTTTTAGATATTTATTTCCCATCAAAGAGTTTGAAAATTCCAAAACAGCACTACAATTTAAAACCTTTTATAATTAGTTAGCATATTTCCAACTCTGCTTTTTTCAATGGAAATATATGAGATAGATATCAGGAGACAGAAGAATTATAATTTAAATGAAAATAATGAGAGCATAAGGTTTATAAATGTATAAGATTAGTCAAACTTTGTTATATAACAAAAAAAAAAAACAAATCTAGCTAATGGCCTGCTTTTTCCAAACAGTACTGAAAACAGAACTGTCACATATACTCACAAAAAAACACTTTGGTTAGTTCAACCAGGACAGTGGTCCTCATTAAAAGAGAATATAAAGTAGAGAATGTATTTTCTTAAGATCTCATCAAATTTCATGTAATAACAGATTTCTGCCAGGATTTTTTTTTTAGGAATGAAACTGATAGAACAGAATGGGAACATTTTAAGACAGCTGTATTAATTAGTAAGGTTAATAAGAAATGTATTTTGACAAACTGACATCTTAGATGGCTCAAACTCCATTAAGATGTCCCTATGCACCTGAAGGGGATTTTGTAAGTGTCTGTGAGCCCAACTAGGTGGGAAAGATTCTTTTTGGTGCACTGGTAGTTTTCTCATCAGTGGCTGACTTTATTACCAGACAGAGAACAGGTTAATCCTGAAATTGTACTGCTGAGTCGTGGAAAGGACAATTAAGACTGAAAATTTCCAGCAAAAATGCACTGAAAAGAAACATCATTCCCAGCCTATAACTCTATTCTCAAACACAGAAATGTTCCCTATCAGTCTGAAAACAAAAATTGTGAAAACACTAAATACCTCAAAAATGAAAAGAAAATACTGAAAAGTATATCAATATGATTTACTTTGTCTATAAGTATGCTTCTTTAATTCTAAAAACATCTATTTACAAAGTATGCTTATATTGCATTTTAAAAGGCATATCAAATGTTAAATCATTATAGCATTTTATAAAAAGATTCATATTTCAAATATTTTTTGTTATTAAAAAAGATTAAAAAGCTATAAATTGTCATTGCTGTGAAATGGCACGTGATCTTAAGGGAAGAAACATCTCACTAGAGTTTCCACAAATTCCTTCTTCTTCTAACTGCAGCTCTGGTGGCAAAGGAGGAGCCCCAGGGTCCCCAGGTCTGGGAAGTGTAGTGGAAGAGAAGGTGGGATTTTCAGTTCTGCCTACTTCTAGAACAGGCAAATTCAGAGAAGAACCAGTAGAAAAAAAGGGAGCCGTGCTGGATTCTCCTTCTGGATGGTATATGACAGTGGATGCTCTCAGTTTTTCAGAGAAACTACTCTCATCTGAATTTGATCTACAAAGGTTGGTTGTAGCTCCACCTGGAAAAGGTTCACAGCTGCTACATTTCAGTCCTACAATAAAAAAATTCAGGTGTAAATGAAAAACTTAAAAGAACTGAGTCCATGCCATCTTGTAACTTTTTATAAATTCTGTCATACTCCATTTCATATTTCATTTGCTTTACTCAACAATGATGAAGAATACTATTATTTACATTTTTTAGATAAGGAAGTAATCTCAAGGAAGCTAAATGGCATACTGTAATTCATGCTTAATTTGTATACTTACATACTTAACCACTGAAGGACCTGGAAAAAATTAAGTAGCCCCTAAAATTTTTCATAAAATAGGAAGTAGCTTCCACAACTAATATTCTTTAACATTCTAACACAAAAAATATTACCCAATCAAAACACATTTTAAATAGGGCATGTGCTAAAATACTATGAGTTAATTAATGCTAATTACTGATTCTGGAATCACAGGATGTTACAGGTGCAAGGGGTTTCAGAGGTCATCTGGGATAGCATCTATATTATATTAGAACAGTGAAATCATGCCCAACATTCCAGAGCTACTTAAAGAGAAAGTGAGAACTAGACCCGGGTCTCCTCTTCATGTTAAACCAGATAATGTTCTGGTTCTCAACCTAACAGTCTACTTAGATGGTAGTGGCTGTTCTCATCAAAGAATTTTGCCATATCCTGAAGGTCCTCAGGGTGGAAAGAATAAACACAAACACAATTTATCTTTCTGTGGGCTTAGCAGTCAACCTAACTGTCTACAGGTATACAACCTGCTGAGTTAACAAATTTTATGTAAAATCTGCCAAATTTACAAAATATATTCATATGTCATTCTTTACACCAGTGTTTCAATACCTTCACCATTTCTGTCCCATGCTATAGAAACTATTTTCTTATGTGTGGCTCAGGAGGGGAAACTTCCAATGTGTTCCAGCATGGACTTACAGACTGTGAGTTCCTTAAGGACAGAGCCTTAAATTACTCATTGCTGTATCCCCAGCACTTAGAACAGTTGGAATAGAGCTACATCACATGCACATTTATTTTAAGTGCTTTAGAGAGAGAGATGGGAATCTGGGGAGACAAAGGGATTTAAATTGTGCAGGTGATTCAACACAGCATTCTAATTAGTGAGTGTGTGCTCCTGGGGGGAGGGTGAAGTGGGACAGGTGAATTTGCTATTCTCTTAATATCAGTTCCCATGCCTCTTATGGGAACTCTTGCCAGACTGAGTATGAATCTTGCGTTTAAAGTTAAATATAATTTATACAACATGATTCTTATAAACATAAAACCAACTACTTCATCTTGTGACCTACTGGTAGGAGAAAAACTATCAGAGCTGGACTTACCAAAATACTTTGCCTATATACAGTTCTTTATGTGTGATGTGCGTTTTCAGGGATTACTTTTGAATAGACTAATCTTATATTCTGCTGACTTTAGAAACAACCCAGTGCATATAGGGATTTCATTACAGTTGTTTTCTATAAATGGTATTGTTAAATGAATATAAATACAGAATACTGAGTGACATTCCACTTTTCCAGTACTGTAATGATATAAGGTAAAAAAAGGTAAATCAAATGTAATTCTAAAGGAAAAACTTTTTGAGTAAATGCGAAATGATTTCTTTTTTTCTTTGTTTAGTATTTACTTTTAAAAGCATTGTTAAGATTTAAATGAACTCTTGGATACTTAAAATACCCTACCTTTCAGATGCTCTAGTTTTATATTTCTAAGTTTCAGTACTTCATCTGTGATCTTCTGAATCAGGAAGTTCTGTGTTTTTTCTCGCCGAATAGATTCAACCAGGGTATCTAGTCCTTTGGGGTTTTCTTGTAAGTAGTCTAACAATTTTCCAGCCCTTTTTCTACTTGATGTTCGGCAAGAAATTTCTTCCGTGTCTTCTCTACTGAGTATTTTTTTTGCACGCAGATGATCAAAATGTCTCTCAGCTATGATTTTTTCACACAGATATACACGCAAATTTTCTAAAGCCTAAAAGACATAAAATATGCTTCAATATTATTTATTTTTTAACATATAAGGAGATCATATAGGTGATTATTAGTTAGGAACCTTATCTGGTGGAAGAAAATATACTGAAGCTAGGAGACTCAGGTCTACTAACATTCATGCTATTAAGGTGAAGGTCCAAGTATACAAAATTAGGTCCCAGACTAGACATTCCTCACAGCCTCTCTCCTGCTTGGATATCTTGTCTTCACACTTTGTCTTGCCAATGGGTTTCAGTCCTGGGCAAGTTCACTATGGATTCAATGTGACCAAAGAAATTACAGTAGAAAGTTATTGGGGTGAAAGGGTTATACCCAACTTTATTTCCACAGTGGCAGGTCAATCACTAAAGTCCCGTCACTCAGAGAGAGTCTGCATGCTGCAAGCTGGTCTCTGCCTCCGGGCCTCTGTGCCCGCACAGCCATCTCTGGCCCTCTCTGCTCACACAGCAGTCCTTGGTGCTGCCACCACTCCAGCCTCTGCTCTGCTCTCCTGCAGCCCTGAAGCTCTGCCACCGTGTCGCCCAGAGCACTGGGAGTGGCTCTTTATAGAGTCAATAACGACGCATTGCCCACACATGTGTAGTGAGTGAGCCAACCAGGGCCAGGTGAAAATCCTGGCTACAGGAACCTTCATTTTATCCACACACTTATAAACCAAGACAAGGCTATTGTGAGAAGGGGCCAGTGGAATCTAGAGGGCCTGGGAGGTATTCAGAGGTCTGCTGAGCAAAAAGAAAGCAGAGGCTTCCATACACTTTAGTTACCACTTAAGAAGGAATCCAGGATCAGATAACTTAGTCAGAAGTCCCACAGTTTATAACTTTCTCATGTTTGTTAATTTTCCATTTTCCTAGAATAAAATGATGTAGGGAAAAAAAAAACAACCCTCGATTGAAAGGGCCCATTAATGTGGTTATTGGTGGAGTCAGCTGGAAAGGCTAGACTCTAACTCAGTGAGTTGCTGTTAGAAGGGAGGTAAAAAGGTGTGGTGGTAAAGAAACCCTAAAGGAATAGTGAATGTTGGAAGAAATTAAAGAAATGAAGAAAGAAAATCATAGAAAACAGACCTACATCTGAGAGGTAACTAAGGGGGCTTAATTAGCAGAAAATTGATGTGGGTCCCAATAAAGGGCCTTACTAATTTTATGCCAGTGACTGTGTTACAGATCCTCCATTAACTAGATATGTGGTCTTGGGTAACGAACTTAACTCCTCTGAGTCTCAATTTCCTCATTCGAGTGTTATGAGAATAGATTAATAGATATACACGCAAATTTTCTAAAGCCTAAAAGACATAAAATATGCTTCAATATTATTTATTTTTTAACATATAAGGAGATCATATAGGTGATTATTAGTTAGGAACCTTATCTGGTGGAAGAAAATATACTGAAGCTAGGAGACTCAGGTCTACTAACATTCATGCTATTAAGGTGAAGGTCCAAGTATACAAAATTAGGTCCCAGACTAGACATTCCTCACAGCCTCTCTCCTGCTTGGATATCTTGTCTTCACACTTTGTCTTGCCAATGGGTTTCAGTCCTGGGCAAGTTCACTATGGATTCAATGTGACCAAAGAAATTACAGTAGAAAGTTATTGGGGTGAAAGGGTTATACCCAACTTTATTTCCACAGTGGCAGGTCAATCACTAAAGTCCCGTCACTCAGAGAGAGTCTGCATGCTGCAAGCTGGTCTCTGCCTCCGGGCCTCTGTGCCCGCACAGCCATCTCTGGCCCTCTCTGCTCACACAGCAGTCCTTGGTGCTGCCACCACTCCAGCCTCTGCTCTGCTCTCCTGCAGCCCTGAAGCTCTGCCACCGTGTCGCCCAGAGCACTGGGAGTGGCTCTTTATAGAGTCAATAACGACGCATTGCCCACACATGTGTAGTGAGTGAGCCAACCAGGGCCAGGTGAAAATCCTGGCTACAGGAACCTTCATTTTATCCACACACTTATAAACCAAGACAAGGCTATTGTGAGAAGGGGCCAGTGGAATCTAGAGGGCCTGGGAGGTATTCAGAGGTCTGCTGAGCAAAAAGAAAGCAGAGGCTTCCATACACTTTAGTTACCACTTAAGAAGGAATCCAGGATCAGATAACTTAGTCAGAAGTCCCACAGTTTATAACTTTCTCATGTTTGTTAATTTTCCATCTTCCTAGAATAAAATGATGTAGGGAAAAAAAAAACAACCCTCGATTGAAAGGGCCCATTAATGTGGTTATTGGTGGAGTCAGCTGGAAAGGCTAGACTCTAACTCAGTGAGTTGCTGTTAGAAGGGAGGTAAAAAGGTGTGGTGGTAAAGAAACCCTAAAGGAATAGTGAATGTTGGAAGAAATTAAAGAAATGAAGAAAGAAAATCATAGAAAACAGACCTACATCTGAGAGGTAACTAAGGGGGCTTAATTAGCAGAAAATTGATGTGGGTCCCAATAAAGGGCCTTACTAATTTTATGCCAGTGACTGTGTTATAGATCCTCCATTAACTAGATATGTGGTCTTGGGTAACGAACTTAACTCCTCTGAGTCTCAATTTCCTCATTCGAGTGTTATGAGAATAGATTAATAGATGTAAAATATTTAGAAAAGTGTTTGGTATATAGTAAGAGATTAGTGTCAGTGATGATGACTAATTTGACTCACACTTATCATGATGAGCTAAAGGCAGCAGATCTTAGCAGTACCCTAGTATATAGTGTCAGGCAAGCAGGCTAAGTGAAGGGTTCCTACAGTTCTCAGCCCACTGAACTCCCACATTCCTTTATTTATTTACACAACAAACATTTCATAGATCTAAATATCTACAATGCCAAGGGATGAGCATGTCAAAATAAACAGTACTTGAATCCTGCATGCAGAGTAACAGAGTACGTATCACACACAAATCACTAATTATAAAACAATGGGATATGACCCAGAAAAAGACTACAGGTTAAATGCTGGGGAAGCACAGAGTAAGCAACTCTACCTCCAGGACCTGGGAAATTTACAGAGGCTACACTTGAACAGGAACATTCACGGCAGGAAAATACTAAGAAGCCTGGGGTAGTTGAAACGTAGGGTGCATTTGAGAGAGTGGTCAGGAATAAAGCTGGGAAGGAAAACGGGTTGAGTCATGGAAGAATTTTTGTATCATGTTGAGGAAGATACATTTCTCTGTAGCCAAAAGAGTCACTAAACGTTTATAAATAAGAAGCAATAAGGAAAGTTTTGCAGAGAACTGAGGGGAGCAAAATTGGGACCAAAGGAGACCAATTAGAAGATAGCTGCAATATTTTACTTGATATGTTGAGCACATGAATTTAAGCTGTGGGAATGGAGAAGAAGACTAGATTTCAAAGCTGAACTCCTTGAAAAACATCATCTGTTGTCATTTCTACTGCTTCTATGCTGATGATTCCAAAATTTGCATATGTGATCAGGATTTTCTCCACCTAGGCATCCCAAAGTCACTTGAAGTTCAACATGTCCCAAAACAAATTTGTTATCTTCCCCTATCTTTTCCTGATATTCTCATTTGGGAGTACCACCATCCATCCAAGCATGCTATAGACCTACAACTCATCCTTGACTTGCCATATCTTATCACCCACCTACCAAGTCCTGCCAATTTACCCCATGTATTTATCTAATCTGTCCCTCCACTCCATCTCTATTATTAGCATTGCACTCGTTCAGGTCCTATGATATGTTGCATGCACTATTAACAGACAGCTAGCTCTACTTCCTACCTCTCTCCCCCCTCAAATTTCTCCTTCACACATCAGATCTTCCCATTTTTCAAGAGCAAATGAAAATATGGAGTGTTATATGAATTCTAATAATACTGCAATGTTGCCAGTTAATTATTTTTAAGTTTAAAACACTGTGTTCCACCCTTGACTTAAAGGATAAAGCTCCTCAAACACTGCAAGTCAAGGAGATTACTTAACGTAAGTTTCACGTTCCTTACTGATAAAATAATGATACTTAGAAGGACCTCTAGGAGGACTAAATGGGACAGCACATATGAAGGCTTGACAGTCTATGATACAAAGAATGCTCAAAACAGCTGTTTGACAATAACGGAAGACAGGCTGCTTCATAGTATGGATCCTACCTACTTCAAATTAATCTATCAGTTCCTCTATCTGCCCTGATACTTTATGTTCTACCTAAAACTGCTGCTTATCACCCTACATTTCTTTATGTTGTTACCTTTGTCTTGTTTTCTCTTCTCATACCTTGTCCCTATTTATCCTTTAAGATTCAGGACAGTGGTCATCTCCTTCAGGAAGCTTTATCTAAACTCTCAAGAATGAGTCAGGCACCTCTCTCTCTGTCCTTGCAGCACCCTGTGTATTTCACTTTTCTGTATACCAGGACTCCTCTTCTCATTTCCCAATTCACTCTCAGACATTTCCATTCTGTCTCACTACTCTTCTCAAAGTCAACAATGACCTCCTTATTGCCAAATCTGATACTTTTCAGTCTTCATCTTCCTTCTCAGTAGCATGGACACGGCTGACCACTCCTTCCTTGAAATGCTCTTTTTTTGTCTTACATGAATATCACCTCTCCTGGCTTTCTTCCCATCTCTGTGGCTATAACCTCTTACTTTTAAAAATTCTTTTATGATCTCCCTTTTCCCTTCTAATTCTCAACTTCCTAAATGAACTCACTGAATCCTATATTTTTAGCTCATATCTCTCTTCTGATCTTCAGACTTGTAGATCTAATTGCTGATCTGACATTTCCACTTACTAATCTGTTTCCACTTTCTTCCTCAACTCCTACATTCAATCCATCATTAAGTCCTATCATTTCTATTTCAAAGAGACATCTGGAATTCTCCTGTTCCATCCATTTCCACTGCCCTCACTCTGATTCAAATCACCATCATCTCTCAACTGTATAAATCCCAAGAGTCTCCTCACTGGTTTCTTTCTTCTTACTCTCCTCAATCCATGAAACAGGCAGAGGGATCTTTGAAAAATACAATTC